TGCATGAGAAGTTGCAACTTCTTCGTTCAATCACTAAATCTCATGCTGTAATTCTCTGCATTTCTCAGCCTTCAATTTCCCCTTTTCAATGGATTCCACTACATCTCAACTATATATATTTGTTGAACAACAACATTATTTATATATGAAGTGAAAAATCACAAACAAACAAAAAAAAATTTGCCTTTGAAATTCTCGTGTCCTCTCCTTTTCACCCCACCCCTTCCTTTCTCATTTCCTTAGAAAAAGAAATACCCATTAATTTTTTTCTCTTCATACCTTCATTCTTCTACATCAATTTTTTCAGTCTTTTCTTATGAGGAAACCTGTACATCATCAGTAAATTATGCAGAGTTACTGAAACCCGATAAATTAGGCAGTTGAAGGAGATATTACCATGCATTTATTGATTCACTTCCCTCAACAACGTGAATTGTTTTTCTGATTTCTTTGGAGTCTTTTTCTGCTTCATTATTTACTCCACCTAAAAAAGAGTAAAAAGGGCAAAACGAAGAAACATAACTTGATCTTTGTTCATTCATAGACATTCTTTTTCTAATGCATATCTGTACTAAAATAGACGAGCATACAAGTACAAACGAACTTTGAGGTTTCCTTTGATCCTGTCAAGTAAATTTGCTTCTTTATTGCAACTCCCAAGTGTGACTTAATTTGATTTTTCGTGTTTTCATGGCATGCAGATTAGTGAAACCTCAATCATAGTAGATGCGTCAAAGTATATTCAAGAACTGAAACACAAAGTGGAAAGGCTGAATCATGACATTACTACTACTACTACTACTCAAAGTTCCACCAACAATACTTCTTCATGGCCTGTAATATCTCCACCATAATTCTTTACTTAGTATATACATCTAATTTTATACTCATAACCTAATTTGACATTTCCTTTGTTCAAAAGTGACATTTTCTTTCTCATTATTTTTCCATCTGTTTATTTCCTGGAATTTTTTTGCAGCAAGTTGAAGTGGAAACCCTAGAAAAAGGTTTCTTGGTAAATGTATATTCAGAAAGAAGTTGCCCTGGCTTGCTTGTTTCTATATTAGAAGTTGTTGAGGAGCTTGGCCTTAACGTGCTCGAAGCTAGGGTTTCATGCACCGACACCTTTCGTTTAGAAGCTTTTAGTGGAGAGGTGATTTTCATGTCTTCATAAATTAAAAATGTCCATATATTATAAAAAGAACTATGTAACTAATCCATTTCTCTCTATTTTTTGATGGTTTTAAGAGTTTTCTCTTTTTCCATGCGACTTTAGTCTTTGACTAATCAGTTATTTCTTGCATTGGACTAATAACCAAAATTCTTTTTCCAATTATAGAATGAGGAGAATGAAGAAACCATCAATGCCCAAGTTGTGGCAGAAGCAGTTTTTGAAGCTATTAAGAACTGGAGGGAAAGCAACGAGCAAGGCTAATTAATCAATCAATGTAGCTTAATTAGCTATTAATTACAATCTCTCTTTCGTTTTTTCTGATCTTTAAGTTTAACTTTCCCCTCATCTAGTTATATAATCAGGAATTATTGGCTAGTCCATTAATTCAACAATATTATTGATGATCAAAGATCAATATTCATTTTGCCCAGTTCAAATGACTCTCATCGACACTTGAGAGATTTTATTTTCACGTAACTTGTAACAATCTGGAAAAAAGAAAAAAACTGTACTCTTATTTATTCTGTACAATCTAAAGTTTAGCAGAAAATTTGCGTCTTTGCGTATAAGTTGATTAATTTTAGCCCTACAATGTTTATCCTGTCAAATAGTACTTCCTATGTCAGTTTATTCAAATTTAGTCTCCTGGAAAGTGGGAAATGTATAGGCCTTCTACTTATGGGTATCTAAGACAAGAAGTCAAGGTGTTTCATTATTCCATAATTAATTAAATTGCCTAAATGGGTGCTTAATTAATCAGCAAAATAAAAAAATGTTTTATTGGTTTTAAATTTATTACTAGTTGATATAGCTGCTAGATATAT